TAAGGTATATTCCTCAATTAAGGGAGTGTACTAAGAGAACCAGTCAGTCTAAGCCCTGGGCAAAGTGCTCGGCCAGGTGAGGCAAAGGGCCAAGAGGAGCTTTGGCCTCCTGAAAGTACACACTCGGAGGCCGAAGCTGAGTTCTTCAATTTTTTTTGTTTTTTTTTGGGGGGNNACGGGTAACCTCAGGGCCTGAGGCTTGTTTTTGGGGGATTTTTGGGGAGTTGGGGCTTTGGGATTGGGGATGTAGGGTGACTTGGGTTCCATCTTAGGGAGCTCTTCATTCAGAGAAGTGCGCTGCATCGCCGCTAGTCTCCGGATGCATGCTTGTTGTGCTACTCAGGCACTCGCCTGTTTGCGAAGGCTTGCGCGAGGTCTTGCGAAGCTGAATCCCGGGGCCTACCTTAAATCTTATTCCGGTTCCCAGTATATTTTGAAATATAATTGCTTACATCTTCTCAGGGCTCATAGTCTACTTTAAAGTCTATTCCCGAAACGGGGCAGGGGGATTTTGGAGTCTCTGGGATTCTATCGCCCGCAACCCTGGCCTGGCCCATCCCCCAAGAGCGGGGTCCCTTTAAGTAGTCATACTGCAACTTATAGGGGTACCCAGAGACTCCAATATCNNACCTTAAATTATAGTAGCATCCCTAAGATGATTTAAAGTATAGTGCATTAAGGTAATTAGGGAATCTGAGCCCTCCCCCGTTTCCGATTTCCCCGAGCCCTAAGCATGAAGGCCTCTGAAGGCTAGGGGCCCCTGATACTGAGCCTATTAAGAGCCCCCAGGGCCAATGCGTCCTCGCAGAGCCATGTCTGCCCAGCATCGGTGCTGCCGTGGCAATCATCTTGGCGTTGCTTTGCTTTTAGGTGAGGATGATATGCTGAGCCTTTTTTCACCCTAGCTTAAAGTAGGCCGGGACAGATTGACCTTTTACCGTTCTCGGTTCGGAGATGTTCGAGGTTTCGATGCACTTTATCTCGACATCTCATCTCAACATGCTCCGGACTGTTTTATGCCTGATTTTGTAGGAGGTGACTGTTAGCCTGTCAGCTTTGGGCAGCATGCGGGGCTCTCAAGGCATGGCCATACAGCTGTCTTTGGCTGCTTCCATCCTGCAGTCACAGCTAAGCAACCACCTAGAACACGGAAAGGCAAGATGATCCCATGCACGTCTTGAGTTCACTGTTGTCGCGGCCGAATCCCGAAGCAGCAGGTGAAATCACGCAGGTCGTCACGGCATCGAGCCTAAGAGAGCACATTGGCCCATCTGGGCGCCGGCAAGGCATCTGCCGTTCGACTTGCTGGTGGACTTCTGAGCGTGATGGAATGAGCTGACATTCGCAGCCCCGACATTCCGATGAGGCTCCTTGAGGTCGACCTGTTCCTTTCAGGCTTGGGACATGGCCCTTTCTCTGCCTGAAGACCTCGAAATCTTCATTGAGGCCATGAGGCCCTTTGGACTGGAAACGAAACGACCGCGACCTCCACAAAACCTTTCCGAGCCTCCTTGAAACCCACACACGGAGCCCCCGACAACCNNCCTAAACCCTAAACCAAAAAACAACAACAACCCTAAACCCTAAAACCCCACCCACTCCCCCTCGCCCCCCAAAAAAAAGCAGGAGGATGCAGCTCTGAGAGAACTGAGAGCTCGGCTGCCAGGCAGCCCGCGGTTCGCGCTCCCAAAAAGGGGGCTTTCTCGCTTGCTCCGAGCCAGCGAGCGAGTGAAGTCGTCTTACAGATGCCCCTAAACCGGAACCGCAAACATCCGTCAGCTGTAAACCCTAAACCGTGATGCCTATCTGGCTTCAGGGCATCGGATTCACAGGAATTTGGCAGCACTTAGGGACAAGCCATACCGCTGGAGATCAGCCGTGCCGCTTTTATGCAACGCGCCTGTACCTTCGCCACTGTGCTTGAAATCCGCCAATGCTGCACTGCAGAAGCACGAATCTGCGCCGCAGCTGACTGCAGCAAATCCCACAATCTGCCAGGCTTTGCCGAGGCAGCACGGGCGGGAAGTAATCAATTCAGATTGTTAGATCTGAGCAAAAGGTGCGAAAGCCCCCGAGTTGAGAGGAATCGCCAACACAACCCCTCCATGTCTGGGCTCACTCGATGTTGAAGGCGCCGCATGCCTTCTCGCTTTCTTGCCTAAGTTTTCTGTGGCAACTTAGGGCCCTTGAAGCTGCAATGGCTTGTTCATGTGCTTGTTAAGACGCTTTCCCGCTGAAGGCGACCCTACGCTTGCATGAAGCAGTCACAGAATCAGGTCATAAGAGTTGAACTCGTCATGAATCCACTTTAGAATCGCACATGGAAGTTCGCCCCACGTGTTTCATCAAGATGCCACAGAATGTTTCTGGACTCCGGCTTTGTGCAGATGGGCTCCAAGTCAATCTTGGTCGGCTTGCCTTCCACGTCAGTTGCGCTGTTACTGTAGAAGGCTTAAGAATAACCAATACTATTTTGGGGGGTTCCTTGCTAGAATTATGGTATGATATACCCCCCCCCCCCCAACCCTATTCTAATTCATTAGTAGGGCCCTTATCACCATAAACCCTGTTCCAAGTACTTAGCAAGGCCCTTATAACACTAAACCCTATGCTAATTAATTCGTAAGGCCCTTATAACCCCCAAACCCTATGCTAATTAAATTAAGAAGGCCCTTATATTTTGTAAGCCGAGAGCTTCCCCTGATGTCGGACAGCCACCGAAGATCTTTGAAAATAGCTGCATTGTTCCCGAAGCTCAGAGCTCATACTATGGGTTCTTACCACGCAAGCATGACTTGCCCTAAACCCTAAACCCCTAAACCCAAAACCCTAAACCGTGGCTTCGTGGCGAGTTAGCCTCTAAAACCTCGGCTTGGCACTGAGAGGGTGGGTACCAGAAGAAGAGTCTGCAGAATCCGAGAAGCTTCGGACCAAGGGATCCAAGGAAACCCTCTTTGCAACAAACGCCTGAACAAAAACATGGATGAACCCGAACCCGAACTTCTGCTTCCCTTCCATTCGGAGGTGCCTTTCATGGCTGCCATGCCATCCGGCTCGTAGAATTCACCAGATTGCACGCCTGTCGTGGGTTGAACTTTCTGCTCAGGATCCGCAGGTGCTGTGTCCTATATATCATAGGATCCGGAGGCTTTTTGTAACCCGACCGCAATAGGCTCTACTGGAAATGTGTTGCATCCGACCTCACAGACTTCATCGCCTGATTCCGCCATGCCAAGATGGGGAAGCGGTGAAGCCGTTTTCATAACGTGCACACAGCTGTGTGCACTTGTCTTCACCCACGTTTGATTCTCTGCCGATTCAAATTTCACAATGGGGGTCTTCTTCTTCCGCGATTCGGTCTCAAACTCTTCCGGGGATTCAGGCTTCGGAGGCACACTATTCTCTCAGGGGCTGAGTACCCTAGACCAAAAAACGGTTAACCTTTCAATTATGGTAGGATTATATAAGCCCAAAAAGGTTAAAGGTTACCTACTCAGCTACTAAGTTGTAGAGGCTGGCTTTGAGTGGGCCCTTTCATCTGCACACAGGGCCTCTCATGTCTTTGTTTGTGGTCACACAGCCGATCCAGACTTCGCTACTTGCGACGACTAGAGCTTTCGGAGGTGCTTGACTTCGAATACTTTTTATTCTCTGTTGCAGCGGCCTTCTCCAACGCAGCACTTGAGAAGCGGCATGGTCCCATCCTCAAGCTGTCGCAGTCCACACTCGCAAGAAAATTCATTGCATCCAAGATCCATGGACCTAGGCACTACACGGAAACGTTGAAGCACCAGTCAACGACCACAACTAGTGATGACAGCAGCAAGAGCGTGGCACAATCACACGACGATGTTTGGGCACAACGACGAGCTTCCTTTCCCAACCACAGCACATGCTCACGTTTGCACAGAGCTACATTGCCACATGAAGGTGCGGCTGGCTTTTTGTGGGTTTCGCGAACCCCCTGCACATTTTCAATGTCTGAGGTGCTTCCCCAGACTGCGCGAAGCGCATCATCCATGTGTCGTTGAAGCCATCCGCCTGATTCGTAGTTACCTGCGTTGGGTGGGGTACTCGTGTTTCAAGCATAACATCGTAGCAGCTGGTCGTAGTCATCAGCGAAGCCCTGTGCCACAGGAAAATGCGAAACCACCAAACCCAACAGCACGAACCCAATTGCTTATCTATCTATCTATCTATCTATATGTCTATCTGTCTACCTATCTATCTATCTGTCTATCTATGATAGCACCACTCTGTCGGAGTACCCTCACGGCGCCTTCACAGAACTCACAAGGGCTCCTTTAAGGGACATATGGAG